AAAAAAAAAAAAATGAAAATAATATCATCATGACTTGCAATGCAGTTCTCCAAACTCAAATATCAAGATGTAAAATACCTACCTTTGTGTTTTGCATGACACGAAGTTGAGGTAGAACAGAAACAGCTTCAAGGTAAACACAGAAAGCCCAGGCTATCCTGTTGATGATGTGATGTGATGTAGATGGGTGGATTAGTAAAGCAATAACAGCACAAGGGATCACCTGCAAAGACACGTTTTCAGAACTCTGAATGCAAAAAAGTAGGGAGATGTTTAGAGGTAAAAGGAAAAAAACTAACAGGAAAAGACGAAAAGTTTGATATCAGACGACGAATAATACGAAGGCAAAAATGCATTTTTAGTCATGTTGAGTTAACGTTATAACAATTTTAGTCCCAAGATCCCAACTTTTTACCTTATGGTCCTGTGATTTAATATTGTGATTTAATATTTTGCTGGCAAAAAAATAATAATAATAATAATAAATTACAAGACTTAAATTGCAATAAAATTTTAATTTTCAAGACTTAAATTGCTAATAAAAAATTTGGGAAATAGGGAATTTGATGCGATTTCATTCTTCAAATAACTAAAATTGAAGCAAAATGTTAAATTACAGGACCACAAAGTGAACTGTTGAAACTTGGGCCTAAAATTGCTATAGCGTTAAACCAGCAGACTAAAAATGGAATATTGCCTAATAAGAAGAAGATAAGGCATCTCATAGCTAAATTGACCAATTTGACCAGAGAATTTGGAAATAACATATTGGAAGCTAGAACAAGTTTCAGATTTACAGCAAGGAGCTGCGGATTCCATCGTAAGCATTGGAACAGAAGAAATCAGAAGCATTTACATACAAATGAATACTACTAAGATAAAATGACATAGGCAGAATATACTTTCTGCATATTAATGGTAATCCTTGAAAATCACTTAAAGAAAGAATGAATGGTGATGATTTCGCCTTAAATTTTACAGAATGATTTTTCAGATTTTTGGGCTTCTCCATGGCATATTCAAATGAACTATTTCCTCACCACAACTCTAAAGCCACAATACCAAGTGAACACAAATGCCATTTAGATATAAATCCTCACCACATAATACAACGGAATATTGTCTTTATCTTCCATATAACTTGATCTCAGTTTGAAACGGATCATATAAATAACCCATAAGGTTGTAGCAAGAGTAGCCATGTCCAGCACAGTGTGGATATCGTATTCCATGACAAAACTGCAATACAACCTAACAGCCAAAAAGATAGCTGTTAGCTCCTGGGATTTGAGCGAAAGCCCTGCCATGCCATTTAACAAAACAAATATTAGCATATGAAGTTGCATACGTAAAGGCCTGAACAGCATTGCTCTTTCCCAAAGGGTATAAAAGTCGCATAAAAATCCTAACTCGCATAAAATTCTATCTTTCGAAAAAATAACAGCATAGAAACATTTCATACACAAATATTGATAGAAATAGTCAGAGAAAAGCAATCAGTAAGCCTTTCTCCTGGTGTCACCAAACCATCAGACCAAGATCTTCTACCAAAACACTCCAATTCCTATAAAGTTCCAAGCTTTTTTCTCATTCCTCACCAAATTATAGAAATAAATGAACAAAAAAATGGCACAATCAATTCCAAATTCAACAAGGGTTCACACAAAAACAAATCATAAATACACTTCCCACTGTTAATTGAAGAACACTGTACCCAAACTATCTTCTTTATTTTGTTCTTTTAATGGGTCTTCAGCTCCAAACTACTACCACAGCCCCCCAAAACCCTAATTCAAAAAACCCCCCTTCTCAAAGATCAAAACTTTGATACAAAAACGCCAATTACAAAACAAAACGATGCCGTACCAGCACAAGTCCTCTCCTTCATCAGCTTGTAGATCAACACGGCAATTCCGATCGAGTGAACGGCCTCCGACGCCACAAACAGATTATCGTGATCGTGGACAATCGCGCGGAGGAGAACAAGCGCCGCCATGCCGCTGACCACCGCCAGAAACGCCTTCACCTTCGGCGGCTGCCGCCGAACCCACGTCGCCGCAGCTTGGATCGGCCTCCTTGCTGCCTTCATAATTGCAGGTGAGAGTATGTAACCACTTTTGCCCCAAAAAAGCTCTATGAATTTCAAGGAATTAAACGAGCTTTCTTCCTTTCGTTTTGAAGTCCTTTTCGAAGTGTGTAAATTTATGTGCTGCGTAGAGATTTTATGTATTTTTTTCGAAGTCCTCGTGGATTTTTTCGGCAATATCACATTGATTATTTAATAATATAAGTTAAAAACGTTTTTTCTTTAAAAAACGTTTATGTTTACAGCTCGCGTTTATACAATACTAAATTTTTTCAATAAAAATATATATTTTTATTCTTTTTTTTGATTAAAAAAATACATATTTTTATTTTACTTCCCAAACAAAATAAAGTATATATATTTTTGTATTATTAATATTATATCTAAATGACAATATACAGCATCTACTAGAATAAGTAAATATAAAAAATGAATGTAAAATAATTGTAGTATACCAATAAAATGATCAATTAAGAATTGATGTGTGTTGTTAAATTAAATGGGTATGACTCTACTCGGCTCGTTAATTCTCGAATTTTCAAACGGGCTAGCTCACACTCATTTAAAGCTCGTTTGGTTAACAAGTTGAAGTCAGCTTGCTCGATGAGGCTCGATTTTCTGCGACTCGTTAAAGCTCAAGATTGATTCGTTAAAGTTCAAGATCGGTTTGTTAAGCTCGAACTCAACTCGTTATTAGTGATAATCGAGCAGAACTCGAATTCGATTTCAAGCTCGTTTATTTAACGATCTAAGCTCAAGCCCAACAACCTAAGTTGGAGCTCGACTCGACTCGTTTACAGGTCTAGGTAAAACCCTGAAAGCTCGAAAGAACATAATTATATAATTAAATAATATTCGAAAACCATGAAGTAGAGGTTGTAATTTTTTTTAAAGCTCATGTTAAAAAATTATTCTTAAATTTTTTAAAATTAATGAGAGAACTATATTAAATTTAGTTTATTTTTTACAAAAAAGAAAATATATTACTATATATTTTAGAATGATATGTGTTACTTATGACTTATATGTGTTATATTATATTAGTTTTTATAACTTATATCATACTAGTACAACACCCGTGTATTACACGGCAGCTGATACACGGGTGCTTGCTAATTAATTTTTTAAAATATATAATTAATGATAAAAAGTAGTTGAAAATTTAGATACCTTTTACAAATATATATTATCATATATTTAGTATGACACTTTTTATTTGTGCGACTTACCTGTGTTATATTATAATAATTTTTTAATTTACAACATATAACTACATTAAAAATAAATATATCAATTGATAAATAATTTTATTTTTCTAATGAATTTTAATAAATATTTTTATTTTTTATTACTATAAAGATAAATATAATTTATTTATTTCATATATACAATATGGATGTCAAATCGAAGATCATCAAAAGATGATTAATTTGATATAAAATATATGTAAAACCGATAAGAAATAGAAAAATTATCAACTTTTAAAATACATTTACAATTCAATAGCTAATTGAAGGAAACAAATCAAAGTCAGAGATATATTAGTCACTTAGTGCAATAATTAAAAGTTATATTAGTACAAGTGATATTAAAATACCTAAATTAGATAAATAATATTTATGGAATGTCCGAACCTAGATTATTAATTATTAATATATCAATATTATTTGTCCAAACCTAATTACGAAGCATGATTCTTCGCCAAGTAAGATTCCGAAGCACCAGAAGCAGCCACGTAGTCTCAGCGCATTCTGGAATTATATATAGGGAAGATAACTACTTGAAATATAAATATATTAATATATAAGTAATTTTTATTTTTCTAATTAATATTAAAAATAATTTTATCATTGTTATGAAGATAAATATAAATTATTTTTTTTATACATACAATATGGATGTTAAATTGAAACTCATCAAAAGAAGATTAATTTGATATATATTACATATGTAAAACTGATAAAAAATAAAAAAGTTATTAACTTTTAAAGTATATATACAATTCAATAGTTATAATAAAGAATGATATTAAAATGTAATTAATACATGTAACATGACCATAAATAATCAAAATATTTATGGTAATCCGAACCTAATTATTTTTTGTTTGGATTTAAATTAAAATTTACCCAAACCTAATAACAAAGCATGTAATTTTGCCACATAGGATTTCGAAGCACCAGAAGCAGCCTAAGGCTCAACGCGTTTTGAATTAATATATAGGGAGATTTTTCACAATTTCCCATGCATCACACTAATAAAAAGGCAGGAAATGAAATGAGAACAATCAACAAAACCAGAATATCAACTACAAGTACTTCCCCTAAGATAAAGCAAGGAATTAAATCAGCACATATGCCCCCAGAAAACTCAAAATTCATATCCTGCTAAAAAAAATAAATAAATAAAATAAATACTCATTCATCTCTTTCAACTTCTGCATTAAAAAAACGACCCCTAATCACCATTTTTCCACCATGTCTTTGAGAAAGAAACCAATGAAATTCATAACCTGAAAACCACATTCCAATCCAAAGATCAAAAGGTCCAAGAAGCGGATCGCTTCAAAACGGGCTTCAGGTTCTTATCCTCCTCGATAGCGATCATACCTAAATGCGAAGGATCCTCAATCAACATCTTCGCCACAAGATAGCCCGCGATTGACCAAGTCTGGTTTTTCCGAGCCTGCTTCCCGATAAACCGGCCCAGCTTCCCATCGTAATATTCGGGCCAACCGTCTTTCGAAAGTCTGCTCTCGGCAAGTTCGATGGCTCGCCTCGCAATTTGGGGCCTCCCAGTTTTGATGCACGCGGCTGTTAGGAGCCATAAAAGTACTGTTTGTGCAAAATGAAAATTAGCAAAGAGACACCAAACCAAAAAAAGGTGAATTTAACTGGTGAACTTAAAAACAATGAGCTAAATCAGAAAAATAAATTTTCACCAGATAATTGGAACGAGGAAATGCAGAGAAGTTTAACTTATGGAACCAAGAATCTCTATCTGCATACTTGAACAATGAAAATAGACACTAAGCCTATGGAAAAATACTATTCAAGTTCAATCTAAGTACTTCAAAACCCCACTTAGCATCCATAATTATGGAAAAATACTATTGAGGTTCAATCGGTAAATAATTTTTCACCAGATAATTGAACTAAGAAATAAAGAAATGTTCTCCACATCCACAGCTGCCAACTTGAGAATCGAGACTTTTAGGACCAAAACGAAAATCAACAACTTGAAACATAGGACCAACATTGCAAGGAGATTAAATAAACTCACCAACATCGCCTGAAAAACAAGAAAAATTGACAAGCAACAAATCCCCATGAAAAAACACCATTCAGGTTCAACTATTTTCAAAACAACCCCATCCACGATCCACCATTCAAAATATGAAAAACCCCCTTCATATTTGTTTCTTCTATTCTACAGAATTCCAGACCAAGGCCAAGAAATATTCCGCAAGCAAATACAAACCTCGATGAGATGCATGTATTACTACTACCTTTGGAAGACAATCAGAGTAAAATCTTTCTGAGGGCAGCTTTATAGTTTCACTTAAAAAACACAAAATTACATATAAAGGAACCACCTTTAAAGCTTTTGCAATTGCTATTTGCGTTTAAACCACCACGTTTCATATGTTTTGCAGATCGAAGCATAAATTTAACTTCCATTAGATTAGAGTTGACTTGACAGTACGGTAAGTTTACGTGGCTGACTTAGCACAGACGGAAAGTCCAACGGAAGTTAACTTTATGCTACGAATATGGTGATT